CTCTTCTTTCAGCTGCAGTGGGTCTTAGTCTATGGCTGGGGGCAACCAGGTTTGCTGCCCTTCCCTGAAAGTTAAGGCTTTTGTTCCCAAGAGGAAATAAAGGTGGAGTATTCAGGTGGGGCTTGCTGCTATCCTGCAGCAGCTTCTGTTCCACCGCAGGGAGGCTTTCTCTAGACCAGCATTTCTGAATAGCACCTCTATGGACATTTTGGATTGAAGAATTCTTTGTTGTCAGGTACTAGTTTATTTATTGCAGAGTGTTTAGCAGCATTCCTGATCTCTAACCATTGAGGACAAGCAGCATCCCCCCTAAGCATGACAATCAAAAATGTCTCCAGACTTTGCCAAATATCATTTTGGGGGCATATTTGCTTCCCATTTAAAAACCACTGCTCTGAATGTTGGCCTTGCTCCCAATCTTTCTTCTGAGAACCCAGGAGGTCTGTGGAGAAAAGCCTATGAGGTTGTGAATTCCCCTTGTGTTTGAAGATCCCCACAAGTTCTATGTTCTCACATGAGGCCACATTCAGGTTTTAGAAATTTGTTAACAGTTTTTTTAATCTTCACCCTAGGATATGTTTTCATTGATTTTATAGAGACAGGAAAGGAGACAGAGATAGATGATAGGTAGATAGATAGATAAACATCAATGTGAGAGAGAAACATCGATTGGTTGCCTCCCCTACATGCCCCAACAGGGAATCAAACCCACAACCTAAGCATGTGCCCTGACCAGGAATTGAACCTACAACCTTTTGGTAAACAGGATGAAGCTCCAACCAACTGAGCCACCAGGCCAGGCTTTGTTAGCAATTTTTATCTGAGCTCTTCTTACTGGCTTATAGGGTCTCATGCTTGCTCCAGTGAGCAAATGCTTGCATCTGTCACTCCTTGGAGGCACCTGTTTTCCCCCTAGATTTTAGGTTAGTTGGTGACTTTAGCTCTCTGTTGTGTTTAATAAAAGTTGTGGATTTGCAGATATTCTGAATATTTTTCACTTTGTGTTTTAGAGCAACCCCCTGTCTAGCTTTCTGTGCTTTAAGTGGAAGCTGAAAGTCTGACATCCATAATTTTTAATCTCAGCTTTCATGCAGAGGAATTGGATACTTTTGGAGGTTGAGCCACTGCTCCACATGAAGAGATCTGAACCAAAGGCTTTCTAGATGTGGCATGTTCATTCCACACTATTGTTCTGGCTCTTCAACTGGAGTGATAGTGTGTTATGTTTAACTAGTGACTTTCAAGGTAAGTTTCATCTTCCTCTTTCTATAATTCTCTAATATAGATTTAGAGTGAGGTGTACTGAGTCTGTGTTCACCCTCACTTTCCTCGATGCTTGTGGCCCTACTTTTGATAGTGGAAAGGATAGAGAGAAATATTATTTTTTTACTAAATATATGTCTTTATTGATTTCAGAGAGAGGAAGGGAGAGGGAGAGAGAGATAGATACATCAATGATGAGAGAGTCATTGATTGTCTGCCTCATGCACGCCCCCGACCAGGGATAGGGCCTGCAACCTGGGCATGTGCCCTGACAGGTAATTGAACCCCAATCTCCTGGATCCTAGGTCGATGCTCAACCACTGAACCATGCTGACAGGGTGAGAAATATTTCTTTATAAGAAAAACAGTAGTGCAAGGAGAATATGCGGGTGCTCTCTCTCAGCCTGAGGACTGGCAAAATTTATTTGATGTGCAGTGATTTTTTTTTTAATTTGAAGCAGTATTGTAACAGTTCCCGGGCCCTGTCTATTATCCTAAAGCACCCATTAAAGTTAGCTGACTGCCCATTTCATTCAACATTAAATATTTATCAAGCACCCACAACTTGAGAGGCTCTGTTCTAGGTTCTGAGGATGCGGCAATAAATTAAGCAAGTCCTGACCTTATGGAGTTTAAATTTTGGCTTGTGGCCTGCAGTAGTGGGTATGGGAACTGTAGACTGGAGAGCAAAGAGTGTGCTGCTATCAATCACCTCCAGCCAGTTGTTGCTAACCACGGATGTAGACCTTATGCAGCCAAATTTAAATTTTTTCCAAGAGGAGCCAGAAGTCATATTTTTACTGTAATTTTCTTAGTTTTGAATATTGACTCAACATGTTTTAAATCACTGTGGAGGTCAAACAAAACATGTTTGCAGACAGAATCTGGCTCGCGACCTCTGTCTAACACCATCTTTGCCCTTGCCGGTGTGCTTGAGGAGGGAAGGCAGTGACCGGCAGCTGCAGGCATGTCGGCTCCCTCCTCTGGAAGCAGTCACCAGTTGTCCGAGGTCTGGCAATTCCAGAATTTAATGAGCAATACAAGGTCAACAATTTCAGTGAGAGCACTTAAAATCAGCCTTAAAACAAACAAACCAAAAACAGGGACTGTACAAATTAGCGGGTGATTATTAACCTGGGTTCAACAGAATGCTATCAACAGGTTATCTGCAAGCAGGTTATGTGGCAATTACCAACCTGCTTGCAAGTTAGAAACTGGTTTTTAAAACGTGATTCCCACTGTTGGCCTCTTCCCTTTCAACAAACATGCTACGCTGTGCAGCCATAGTGAGAGTTTTGTAATGGTGCCATTAGTTCATGAAGTCCAGTGATCCTGGAAGGCTCACACCAAGGTATTTGGTAAACTCACAGCATTTGTAACTGTTGGTTTTCCTTTTCTTTGGAGAAAGAAGCTGCTTTGGACTTTCTTGACAATATAGGACATACAGAGAGTCAAGCAAATACGTCACCTCTCTGACTGGCTCCGTGTTGTGCCAGTTACACAAGTGCCTACCCGTTGACCTGTGAGCTTGGCATTTTCATTTGCGCCATGGTCCTGTGCTCATAGGTTTCCTCCGCCTGCCTTTTCCTGTTTGAATCCTAACCCTGCACGTTCTTCAAAGCTCGCCCGGCTGCCCTTCACCCTTCTCACTGACTGGGCAATCCAGCCCCTGGACTCACCTCACACCTACCTCCTCTATTCACTCTACTTGCTGTAGCTCATAACAGGTTTTTTGTTTGTTTGTTTGCATTTTAACAATTTTCCCCACTTTTGAGCTCTTTGAATTAAATTCCCAGAAATTGCACTGGGGCAAACATTCGTGTATCAATATTTAGATCAGAGACGACACCTTGCCCACATCTTTTATACTCTATGGCCAGGTCATATGTTTCCTGATATTTCTCTGGCTCAAGGTGGATCAGGTTTTTTTGTGGTTTTTTTTTTTTTTTTTCCTCACCTCTGTTGTGCAGATTATATCCCAGTTGTGAGGGATCTGACTACAAACCTCAAATTCTAGCTCATAGAAACTTGGAGATTGAAATTCTTTATTGCAAATAGTACCTGACCCCAGCTCCCAGAGATTCCCAAGCAGAGAGGGACCCCAGGCCACACCCTGTGTTCATAAGACAGGGTGCATACAATTTTACTTCTCCTCTGGTGACAACTGCTTTTTAAATGATGTACCACTTGGTTCTATGAAACCACTTTTTTGATTCAACTACACATTTTACACAAGGTAATAAAGGTATTTGTATGTTATCTCACAATTGTACTGCTTCTTATTGCATTCTGAATAGTTGTGCAGAAACATACTTAAAATGCAGCCTTCTGTGAAGGGAGAGAAACAGCCTGCCTTATTGAAAGTTTTCTGAGCTTTATGTTGGTAGAGGTAACCTGTGCTTTTGGCTTGTACAATTGGATTATATGTCTGCAAAATAAATTTATGATGACAATAACATGAGCAATTTTACCAATTGCAAACATCTTAAGGACAAATATTAACTATTAGATTAATAACAAATTCAAGGGAACAAAAGAAAGCAGATTTTCATTCCACAAACAGTCCCAGAAATATATGCTTTTTAAATTAGTCTCCAGCCACAGGCTGTGGGAAAACAAGGAAGTCAAACTTCAATTTCTGCTAATTGGCTAAAATTTTCTCATTTTGATGTTGATTTTTTTCTTGTAAGTAATCTTACATGTATTTCCCTTATTTTAGGAAGTAATATATTTTTAAAAATATTTTACATTACTCTTACAAAGAAATTAAATGTTTTAAAATTAACACTGAAAGGACTAGAATCTTTCGTCTTTCAGCATGGATAGTCACAAAAGAGCTCAAGTGCACTTTGTGACTTTAAAAAACTATGATCGATAGCTGTGAATTTTAAAAAAAGTATCACATGTATCATTCATGCATGATGTATTTTATTTTACTGCCAAATACTGATAACCACTTCAAAAGGGCAAATTCCAAGTTTAAAATGAAAAGCTCCTTTGTTGTATGTTTATAATAATCTTATAAATACTGGTACTGTCGCTTTTTGAAACTTTCTCATTTATTATAATCATCTGCCCCCAGACCGTATTCTAGTGTGGTATGTTTATCAATTGAAATAATATCCAATGGAATAGCTTGCAGATTGAACTTGATAATTTATTGCATGACTCTAAGGAGTTTTAAGAGTGCTACAAACACATTTCCTTTTGTTAAAATTTGTGTATTCCATATCTTTGCTGGATGAATTCTCAGCATTTAATTTGCTTGGTCCTTAAGTACACATGTTTATCACTGACTGTATCAGATATTATCTATTTGTGATAGTTGTAAAACTGGATCCTAATTTTTTAAAAAGATAACTATAGTATAGCAACCTAAAACATGCAACAGCAAGTTTCCTTCATAACTTTAATGAAGTCTAATTGGTCATCTTTTTGGTATAAAAGCAAAGTTTAGGCTATAAAAGCTCAAGTATGAATTTTTCCTAGAGATTCCCTTTTAAAAACATTTTGTGAATATTCACTGGCTCTCAGTTTATTTGGTGTCTGGCTAAACAAACAACAACAATACTAAAAACAAGACTCCAAATCAAATCCTGTTGACTCTATGCTTAGATTTTTGAGGCCCATTAAGTGGCATCACAGCAACTAGTTCTTCAACCCCAAATTGTCTTATGATTGGACCCATTTATTCTAGTTTTCAAGTATTATTTTTTTCTCTTTTAGAGGAGCTTGATTTAAATCTGTGCATTGCCAAGGGCAAGGAGCTGAGAACATGGATAGAGAGGTAAGATTGATATAACAGTAGCCCCCTCTATGACTTTTTTTCTTTTAAAAACAGCCTTTTAAGCTTTATTTTTCATAATAATATCCATGGAGAGAAAGTATAAAAGTGAGTAGAAATGTAGCCTCCTTTGTAGCACTCACGGGTAAAGAGGATGATTAACGAGTGTAGCAGACAATGTCATAGCAAAAGAGAGTCCGCAGAACTTAAACAAAAGTGCCTTCAGAATTTCCAAGGATTCCCAGGATCCATAGTAGAACCTCATTGTGCCTGTCCACCGTTTCTATTTTTGAGTAGATTTATAAACACAGCACCACATATTTTCACGTGCCTTATTGCCCAGGGGCAGAATTAGATTGACTGCCCTGAAACTGTGAGGCTTGTGACTTTTGGGCTAGGGCTAGAGTGAAATAAGTAGTGTAATTGTTTCTGTGGAGTGACCGTGGGACCTCCTCTGTTCTGAATTACACATGGCTCAGCCCTTTGACCTACCCGGGCTCGGCGATGGCTGGCAGAACTCCGAAGGCTGTGCTGAAAGGGTCCATCACTGACAAACTGGAATGTTATCTGTCAGGCGAGATGTGGGCCAACAACCATATTAAACCATAGCAATTACTAGAGAGACCACGTTGTGACCACCTCAGCTTCCCTTAACCCGTCGTCTTATTATTATTTCAGCACGAAGTGCCAGTGTGGGAAATTTTTGGAAGCCAAATGTAGCATAACTTTAATTAACAGGTATTTTACTCCATTTTGGATCATCTTCAAAGATATTTTGCCAAATTATCCAAACATTATTATTATGATTTTAAAAAAATACGTAAGGTTTGGGAAATGATATAAGCTATAATTTAAGTTTTTCATCTCAATGAGTTTAATTTAAATTCTTTAAAAACAGATAATAGCCCACTAATTTATTTCCCCAAAGGAATTAAAGCTAAGGGGTATGCAGAGGAAGTCCAGTAAAGGCTGGAGAGAATCTATGTGCTGATATTTTTGCACTTGTGGAGAATTTATTCTGTGATTCACATGAGGGTGAGTTAAATAAGTGTATATCTATGTATGATATTGAAGTCATCCACTTGACATTTTACTTTCAATTCAGTTAATCAATTTTTCAAAGGCAGTATAAGCAGAGAACTTTAGTTTACTTTCAGGCACTTGACACTATTTCCAAAACTAGTCATGTTTCTGAAACATGTCCAAAATTATGTATAAATTTATTGGCCAATTTTACAAATTAAAGGTCTCTATAGGTATTTTACACTCAACAAATTGGAAATAATTTAGCATTTATATTTTGCTTTCTCATCTGCGGTGACTCGGGCTTAATATTAATTCAATTCTTACATGGCGTTTAAAAATTTCTTTCAAGAATGAGCATTTTTAACTACATTTTCTAGAAATTTTACTCTTTAACTCTAAGGACTCTAAAACATGAGCATAGGGAGGTCCCTATGAAATCATTTACAAAACAAGACAACACTGTAATACCTATGAAGCCCCTCAACGAAGCTGCATTGAGCCCTACCCAGCCTTACTCTCATCAGCAGTGGAGAGTTTGCTCTCGAGTGATGGAACATGGATGCTCAGAGCAGACAGGTGCACGTTGCAAGCTGTTTCACTTTGGCTGTTAGCCCCTAAATCGACAAAGTAATAGACTCAGAGAACAAGAGGGTTCCAGCTCAAGCTGCATGAATGAGGTCTGAACAGGGACACACCAGCTGGCTAGGAGAAGCCAATGCAGCAAATACTAAATAGTATCTTTATGCCACTTGCCAAGGGAAACGGCTTCAGTAACACCCCTACCTTTTGTTACTGAGATGATGTTCCTCCAACAGTATTTGGCTTTATTGTAAAGGTGACACTGGGGCGGAAGCGGATGGCGACAGAAGCCAGCATACCTGTTCCTGTTTAGCATCATTACACTCCTCCCAGCGATTCAGGCATGATTAGGTTCCTGGAGGTGGACCAGATTGACAGTATTTCTATCCATGGTTTTTTGTTGTTGTTGTTGTTTTTTTTTTTTTGGCTGATTCAAGCAAAGCCCCCAGAGCAGTGAAACAACAAAAACAATCACCACTACCCCTTCCGCGCCAGTGCACTGAATCTGCTGAGCTAGTCTGCAGAAGAAACAGTTGTTCACACCACAAACACCTACATTTGCTTCATGGAAGAGACAGGCCATGGCAGTGTGTGTAGGAGCCAAAGGCATGCGTTTCTGCAAGGGGATCCTAACTCGGTCATTCCAAAGGTGCTTCTCTTTGTGACTTCCCGGTGCGCACTGGAACTGCTGCCTGGAGGAAGCAACTTTAGCTAGAATCGAGGCTGCCCACAAGGCCCGAGTGTGCGATCTCCCCGTGCACGCAGGCCACGGAGACAACCCCTGGTTTACTCCCAGGCAGAGGAAACAGCTAGACACAAATGAGGGCTGACGGTTCCATGCAGCACCGTCGGTTGATCCCAGAGGCGCCCTGGCTCCCCGAGCTGAGCGACGGTCTGCGCGGCGTGCAGAAGGCACCTGCTTGCTGGTCTGTGCCCGCCAGGCCCGAGCAGCGCTGCCCGCGGCCCTGGGCTCTGAGTGCAGCCAGGGCTGAACGCTGGGCCTGGGACCGATGCCTCCTGACAACAATCACATTCTTTCAAAAACTTTATAGGTTTCGGTTGTCACAGGTTATAAAGGAATTCGTGGTGGTGGTTTGTATTTGCTACTCTGTCGTAGATTTCAAGTTGAGGGTGTAGGAATGAAAAGACGTGTTGGTTTTTAATGAAAAGGAAAATAATGGAAAACACTGTCGGTTCTTACAAATTTCAGGCAGTTTTCTTCTTTTCACTTTTTAAACCACAAAATATTACTTGTTTTTGTTCACACTATATATTATAGTTACATTTAATAGGATAACCTTACCAAAATAAAAAATAAAAAGACCAGATTTGTCACTATTTAAGCACACATATAAAAGAAAAGTGTTACTAGAAATCGTTCATTTAGATTAATTTAGATTTAGATTATACTATACCAATTAAGTACCAGTGTGAAGGGAAAAAGCCTGGAGTACATCCATAGTAGTTTTGGTTAAGATTTGCACATATTTTGCTTTGCTTCAAAACTATGTATCAGTGAGAAGGGGGAAGATGCTAAGTACAATATACGTATTTAATAAGTTAATGTGAATGTATTAAAAGTAATAACATTACCCAAATAGACTACTGTAAGTGGTAATGAATGAAGAAATTGATGTAAAATATGAGCAAAGGATTAGTTTGCATGAGCTAAAGAGAGAACATCCCATGAAGAAACAGAGACTCTAACTTGAGAAGTGGTGGGGGCTGGGGGGCTGGGGGGAGCGATTTACATGCTTAAAGGTGCTCACGTCTAAAGGAGAGAAAAGGGGGAGGAAACTGACAGAAGAGAGAAATCAGGAATCACTTCCAATTTACTCTTGAACACGTGTTAGTAGTAAAGAGGTCACAAAACGCAAACCATCACTTGGAAATCTTCTCAAAGAATTTATCTCCGGTGTATTCAATCAGACTTTGCTTTTCTTTTAAATATGTGAACTTGTGAAAATATCTTGGAGACCTTTTTCACATTAGAGAGCAAGTACAACATTTCATTTGTCGTCCTTAGTAAGAAAATGAGGTCTATTAATAGGCCACATCCATCTATTTAAAAGCTTTTTTAACTCTGTCTGAAAGGAGTGAAGGCCAAAATTACTGAACCATGTCGAGAAAACCAGCATCTGCGGCTACCTCCGATGGAGGCTGTGAAGGAGACTGTCACACTTCAACCTTTCTGAGTGAATCTACGGATGGGCAGTGCAGTTGTGAACTGTTTTAAAAAGTTTCTGAGTTTTTAATGAATGTAGTTTAATCTTTTTATATGAAAAATTGAGATAACATGCAAATTAGTATAATTTATTTTCTATTTTTATTTAAGCATATGTTTAATGTGTGAGCACATAACTATGCATCTTAGCAAATTTTTAGGATTTATATTAGATTTTGAGACAACCACATAGATGTTATTTGTATCTTTTAAATAGAGCAGTTACACAGAATACATTATCCTACACTAACTATGGATTTAAAATAAAATATCAGAATTCCTTAACTAAAGAAAAAAGTGATTTTAAAATGATTGGTCTTTTCTTTAAATAAGAGTTGTTATGCATTTTCTTTAAAAGAAAATTTAAAAATATTAGTTGAAGTGGGGTTTTTGTTGTTGATAATTTTTACCCATATAGGTTTCCGCTCTTCACCTTTGAAGAAAATTTAAAGATCTCTTGAATACATATTTTCTCTTAATTTTGTTTATAGTGGTATGAAATATATATATATTGTATACTAAATGTTTCCTTTGTGTTTCAAAGAAGAGCTTCTCAGGAAAATAGGCCCTGCACTTTGATTGGCTACATGGTCTATTTGTTCGTGAATCTCTAACATGCCTTTCTGATGTTATGCTGTTTATGCACCATATAATATTGTGATTTAATTGTTTAATGATACAATAATAATAAAAGAATTTTTTGAAAGAAGTCACGTTGTTGTAAACATTTTAACTCAAAGTGGGAATATTAGAAGCTCCAGGAAATTTATTAAAAGCAATGACATAGGGTTTTAAATGGACAAGGCATTTTGTTATGAACCCAGTCATCAAAAACTCCATGTAATGAGTTGTCTGATAGGGAGCTATCTTTACATATAGCCATGGTTTGCTGATTTCTGCATTATTTATCTTTCTTGCTTTCTTTCCTTATTGTTAATCTAAATTTTATAATTCAATCTGAACTTGGGCATTTCTACCACAGATATTTTTTAAATTTAGTCTGACAGTTACCAAGTATTCATTTGGAACTTGTAAGGGTCTGAGAACTCTAATAATATGTCTGGCTATTCATTTTCATTTTTGACCATTTATTACGCATTCCAATATTAATGGCTTTTCTCGTC